CCATACGAAGCCTTGTCATATGTGTGGGGTGATCGGGTTGGAACCATTCCGGTGATGTGCCACGACAAACAGCTTCTCGTCACTCCGAATTGCCGGGATGCGCTTCTTCAACTCCGGAAATCATCTAGGACTCGTCGTCTTTTTATCGATGCAATTTGTATCGACCAGCGAGAAGGAGGCAGCAGCCAAGAGGAGAGAGAACAGCAAATCAAGCTCATAGGTCAAGTTTGTGAGTAATCACCGGACCGCCTTCCATTTTTATAAGTTTGGATGCTATGGAATGATCGCTCGTCATCTAATCATAGTGATTTCGGAACCAAAGATGCGTATACTGATTTTATACCCAATAAACAGATGCGAAAGCCGCGAAAGTCAATATTTGGCTTGGGCCATCACGGAAATTTACGAGCAGATTATTCAAGCTTATGAAAGTCATGCATTGGCGCGATAAACCGAAAGAGCATTGGTTCGCAGATCCCGGGCCCTTACATGCAGTAGTCAAGCGAGCCATCTCTATACATGGTAAGCATATTGACAACGTTGTGCTCTTACTCTTTCTGACGACGAGAAGATAATATGCATAGTAAATCATCAAGCCTGGGGGAGGAATTCAGACAAGTGGCTGAGTACCCTTGGTTCACGAGGACAGTAGGTTAACTCTGTCAGGGCTGATATTATTTCTCAATCAAGGGATTGCATGATGATATTTGTAAACGTCAACAGAGCCCAGCTAATTCGATATTCCGAAGTGGACGATACAGGAACAAGTCCTAGCAGGCGATGCGTGCCTAGTGCTGTGCGGTAACCAACAGATGCGCTGGGTGGTATTTCGATCGGCCTTGGACTCATTGCGTTTTCTATTTGATTTTTCGGCAATTATAAATGGGACTGCCGAAAACTTAAGATCACGGATAGCTCTAAAGTACGAACTAAACAGAGCCTCCAAACAAGACCCGGCGACGTCATACGAGCCGACTTTCAATATCGCCATTTGGATGGCGACTCGCAATCTAAACTCGACGATTCCCCAAGACAAGATCTTCGGAATCTATAACCTCATCACTCAACTAGGAATCGACGTACCTGAACCAGACTATTCCATGACCGAGGCCGACTTATACGAGAAAACAACACGAGCCATTATACTGGCGACTGGGTCCTTGGGGCTGCTGATGCTTTGCACGAGACCAGATTCTGATGAAAATTTGCCTTCTTGGGTACCTGACTGGTCGACTAAGATTAGTACGATAGCATTCCCGGACCTTGGGGTGATTAACCCCTTTATAAACAAGGACTATGATTCCGCCAAGGACACGCGTGTGACTCAACGAGCGATACAACAGGGAATACTGTCTTTGAAGGGTGTCATTATTGGCAACATAGATTTCTTAAGTGGGCCTCCCTATATCGAAATGTTAGATGGGGACACGTATCCCCGGTTTTATGCGTTTGCAGACGCCTGTCGCAGGTGGTGCCAACGCGTGGCATCGTCGTCGCCAGATCCTAATGTCATGGACGCAGTGCGACGGACTCTCCTCTTCATGTTCCCTAGGGTATCAGCTCCAGAGTATGAAGCTCAACAGTCGTACGATAAGTTCGCGTCATTTGACGCCTGGTATGACCTGATGTTGTACCCTGACTGTGCGTTTCTCAACGTAGCAGACCTCATGGCGCGGGCTGAGAGGCATCGACAATCACTGAACCCTAGGAACTGGGATCCGCAAATGGATCCGTCGGTTGAGCTGATTTCACTGATTTTCAATGGCTATGATCGGAAACGACTGGACGAACCCCAGAATGAAATTCCGTATACTATCGCCAGCTCGGCAAACTATGCGTTGATGATATTAGATACCGGGCATTTCGTACGAGGCTTCTATGGCTGCAAGCAAAACGATGTGGTGGCGCTTCTAGCAGGCTCCGAGGTCCCCGTTGCGCTGCGACCTGATGGAAGCGGCAGATGTAAATTCGTGGCTCCATTATATGTGGATGGAATTATGTTCGGGGAGGCTTGGCCTGAAGACGAGTCTGAATTGGTCGACATTGTGCTCGTCTGAAGTTATGAGATGTATAATACGCAAGTGGCTACAACATGTTTCTAATACTACAAGATCCTACTGCACAAGTTCTGATCCCCATAATATGTAAATACCTATGATCTTCGACTTTTTTTTCCTGATATTTGACGCAGCATATCTAAGCTGTGATAAAAGAATGGTAAAATCCATACAACATTGGACGAAGAAATCCATGTTTAGATACCCCAGCAGGAATTACGACGTAGCATCAAGAGTAGCATAGACCTTTACGGCTCTGTCACAGGCCTCTAGGTACGAATGACGACGTATAGGTAGGTCTTGAGTACTTGCTGACGCACGAGGAGCCCTAACTACTACTTCTGACATGTAACGGTACTAGTATATAAGGTGCAGACGGTCAGGTTCGTTCGACCTGATAACGTTCTATCTTTTGATGGTGTTGTGGTTTAGAGCTGCACTTCTGTTCCGTGACAGACAGCTGGGCATCTAATATATACAAACAGCCCCTCTGTTCAGTACCCCAAGGGCGGATATATGTGGTCATAGGTAATCAAGATCGAGACAGGCTCCCTCAATGAGTATTCCAAACTGAAATAACTCCCTAATCAAATTTTACGTATAGACACGGGACTGGAATTCAGGGTAAGCCCCTTATACCGAAAGCATTCGATGTATGTGTTCCTAGTCTTTTGACTGCATGGAGGCGGCTATGGCGACTAGCTTCGTTAAGATTCGCTCTTTCTCACGAATCTTGGAACTAACGAGTCGGAAATAAATGCGCATTGTGCTTGGTATTTATGGAAGGCATAGTGCGTTGCATAAAAGGGACAAAACGTTGGTTCCGGAACGAGATATGACTAGCAAAGTCTTTGTCCACGCATCATAATAGCGACAACACTAAAACATCCGTTTATCGGTTTCCCTCCCCCATTGAATTGTATGAAGTTCTCAGAGAAGCAATGTCTAATCTGATGTATGAGAAATCGCTAGATACTATATCTCATAGGTACCAAAATATCGCCAGCTGCTCTTATGTTCAGATTAATATGGTCACTCTTCCGCTATTGGTGGCCTTCGATAGCATCGGATGATCTAAGAGGCCCCCCGGAAAAGTTGACAGACTTCCGAGATAATTTCCCACAGGATAATAGATTCCAAGTAGAATCAACTTTGGGTAGAGGAGCTCGAGGAACTACATGGTTACTTCAGGAATTGAAGGATGGGATTCCGACGCGAAGATTTGTTGTCAAAAGTGCCAACCACGATACGGCAACTCGAAGTATTCAGAAGGAAATAGAATGCGCTCGCGTGAGTCGGATCCCGAGAAGAGCTATGGTGCATGATTATAATAGTTCTCTAGCAACTCCAAGGCTACGCCCATATTGCACAACCGATAACCGAGAATGGTGAATTGATAAGTCTAGAAACATTGGGCGACGGAAGTCTTCAATTGCAGAAGATATATTTTGTTTGTATGCGTTCTGAAATCCTTATTTGTCACTGTAGCGAACCTAGGAGAGATTTTGCTATTTATCTGCTTCCACATAGTGCAATTTTAGGTTCTAACTCTCGATTTTTGTAGCAGAGTATTTACAGAATGGATCATTGGACAAGTTTCTTGATAGATCACGATCTCGTGCCAACAGGGGACTCAACCCGGTGCCAAACCGTGTCCTATGGTCTATCTTCAGATGCTGTAAGTTCTCATAGATGTATTTATTAGAATATGTAAACGACTAACTCAGGCCAGTAGCGAGAATGGTGATTGGAATGGCGAACCCGGTTGTAGGCAATGCCGGTTTTCAAAGCGGGAACGTTCAAACTCGCTTAGAGCAACCGAGTATCTTTAATCTCGGCACGCAGCCCCAAATATTTCACGGCGATCTAGATAATCTACAAAATTGTAAGTGAGCATATTACTGATTAGCCTCCTATAACTAAACGCTTTAGGTTTGTTCGGAGACTACGATGCCGAGGAGCATGGTCTTGTCCCTATACTTAAGGTGATCGATTTTGGCGAAGCTACGGATGATATGAAAATAATGGCAACCATTCTGCCGTAAGTTAAAATCCGTGTTGTCGTATCTAGCTAGGCGGGCTGACAAATTCACCTAGACCACAAGTGACTGCCAATACCATTACTGAAGGCAATATCTTCGCGATCGGGCAAGTATGTTCACTGACTTATCCGCTCCAAATTGTTCTCTCCAATCCAATGTCTAAACCTAAATAGATAATGCAAATGCTACTTGGGTATTTTCCGACAGCATCGTTTAGGGCGTTCCAAGCTCTACGGCCGAATGTTGATAAGGATGTATACGAGTTAGCGAACGAATGCGCAAATTCTGACTGTAGAAAACGACCGTCAGCATTCCAGCTGCTTCAAAGGATAGAAACCAATATCTCGAACAAAAAGGGACCCGAGGACTTTGCAGGCAAGCCATTTTCAGAATGGGAATCCGAAGAAAGGATTCGACAATACATGAATGAAATATTCGATCCTGAGGACATATAGTTCATGACAACTTATACAATAGAACGTTAAGAGTAATGGCATTATTATCCAGGAATCTAGAGTTCGGCAGAAAAGATTGAAGGACAATGGTTTAGAATTATGATGGGCTCTGTAGCCAAAGTCTTCCTAGTAATAAGACAGCATTTGGGTGGTCCAGCGCTAAAGTGTGATGCCACTATTATCTAGCATTATCAAATAGTTCTGTAGTACATACTATGGAGGCTCTGTTTACTTACGGCATGGGGTGAGGACCATTTTCATTCGGTGATACTAGAGTGCTAGACAAGGTGAAGTCTAACTCCGTTAGCGCGTGCAATCACACCCTACTAGCTTACACTTAACTCTAAGTGCCCGAGATCTAGAGAGACGTGCAAGGTCCGCAAGGCGGCCTACCTCTCCATCTCCCGGCCTCATTATGCAATACTGTGGCAGGTTTAATAACAACCGCCCGGTTAGCTCAATTGGATAGAGCGTGAGACTCTTAATCTCAAGGTTGCGGGTGAGTAACAGCATGTTCGACACACTGACGAAGCAATATTTACTAATAGTGAGATCAAGGTTCGACCCCCGCATTGGGCTCAATTCCTGATGCCTCCCAATAACTGGGAGCAACCCTCCTTTTTTATCCTCATTTTCAATAAAAATTATAGCTTATTCTAGTATAAAAAATAGAGATTTTTGATAGACTTCATTGCGTTTGATTATTGGGAAATCTTTTGTTTCCTTTTTGTTGCTTTTACTTACATATTGCCTTAGTAAAAAGTGCGAAGTAATATACTGTGGACCCACAACATTGTGGTGTTTGTTCAGCTTACAAGTATGCTGTAGCTCTGCTCCCTACCTGTGCCCTGCCCCATTCAGATTGGTGAGCTCTAGCGAAACCAAGATAAAGTGGGACGGTGTCAATCTGCTGGGTAGAAAGTAACTACCTAGAACCTAGCCTCAATCCGTTCTCAAATTCCTAACCTAGCGCATCACCTCACCGCCTTGCAGACTTACCAGACCCAGACCCAGACCCAGCCCATTCATTAGCTCACTCCCAACGACGACCATCAACGGGCAACGTGGCTGAGTGGTTAAAGCGTATGACTAGAAATCATATCCCTTCGGGGTCACAGGTTCGAGTCCTGTCGTTGTCGTCACCAAATCGTGTGCGCATGCACTGATTTGATTGGTCTGGTGGTCTAGTGGTATGATTCTCGCTTAGGGTTCACCCTACAGCACTGCTTGCGAGAGGTCCCGGGTTCAATCCCCGGCCAGACCCGTATTTTTCCCGATTGTGTCACCCTTTTCTTTTTCTTTCCATTGTTTTTATCCAACATTGACTGAAGGATGTATGCCCAGGGGCTGGCTATATGTGTTGTACTGCAAGCATGCACTCTGTCTGTCTGCTTGTAGGAGCCCGCATGCGGGCTATGTCCAACTCATACAAACATTCCAACTTCATATTTGCTGTATAAGGATTAAATTGATATGTGGGCTTCATTTGTCCTTTGTAGAGGAGTTGGCTGCGGGCTTATTAGGTGTAAAATAGCAAAGTGTAGCCTTTCATTTGAAGTAGTAGTATGGCAATCTCAAGGAATTGAGGTGCGTACGGACTCCTGTGGGGACCATTAGCTTCATTCCCGGGCGCTGACATTGCGCCCTTCAATGACAGATGCACCGGTCCCGGAAAACAAAGTGTATTTCAGCACATCTCGCCGGACTCGCCAAACGATCCGAAAAGGCCAAAACACGATTTATGCTCTAGACCCGGCGTAGCCAGTCTAAGTCTCATCATAATGGCCCAATCACAGACCCATTGGGTCATTGTTGCACTGGAGACCTTCTTCTGTCCACTGCCCAGCTTCACCCTCCCGGCCCCTCATACCTGCGAATTCCGGAACTACGAGCGAACGAGGCCGGATCAGATAGTGGAGCGGATCCGTGATGCCGATATTGTAATTTCGACCATTCTGCCGTTGACGGCGGACATTCTAAGTGTAGAGGCGACCCCTCGCTTGAAGAGTACGGCGACTTATTAAGTTTAACTGCTCCCGCCGTTCGGCCGGATCACCCTCCGTCTACTCATACTTCGTTCAAAACGCGTATAGCAGCGTATACTGACTAGAGATCTTGAACAGTGTTGTCAATCATTGCTTCCGGTACGGATGCCGTGGACTTGGCAGCGTGTCGGGCACGGGGCATAGTTGTGGGCAACACGCCGCATTGCAACGTCACGGCGGTGACGGAGCATGTGCTCGCGCTCTATTTCGCGACGCGCCGCTCGCTTATGCTGACGCATGCTCTCATACGTGCGGGCGACTGGGGATCACAGCAGAGTACTATGGACGGGCCCGACGGTAAACCGCCGAGGACGTGCAGTGAAGAGCTCGTTGGCATCATCGGCTACGGCGCAATTGGAAGGCACGTCGAGTCGACGGTCAAATTACTAGGCATGAAGACCGTCGTCGCCGGGCACAAGGGTGCTCCAGCGCCAGAAGGCCGCGTCCCATTCGAGACAGTGATCCGCGAATGCTCCGTCTTGGTAGTGGTTCTCCCCCGCTCACCAGAGACCATGAATCTCATCTCGGAAGTGGAGTTCAATCAGATGAAGCCCTACAGCTTGCTGATCAACGTGTCGCGGGGCGGCATTGTGGATGAGAAGGCCCTTGTCTCCGCCCTGAGGGAGGGCAAGATCGCGGGCGCGAGTACGGATGTTTACGCTCAGGAGCCGGCACTACCGTCCAACAGCGTTTTGCTTGGTGCGGACACGGCGGGTCTTAATCTGGTGACGACGCCGCATATAGCTTGGTATGCGGAGGAAACCTTCGAGAACTACAGCCGGGCATGCAGGGCGAACGTAGCTGAGTTTGTGACAACATCGAAGCCAAAGTACCGGGTTTGCTAGGATCCTAGGCGCCTGGATGCAAACAAAAGGGTGGAGGAATGAGTGAAAGAAAAACTTGGGACACAATATACAGGGAACTTGGTCCCTTTAAAACACGTGGAGGGCTACGATGGGACGTATTACGACCTAGACTAGATTTCGCCGTTTCGGTGTTAGAATTGTGTTTCAACATACCGAACCTATCTACGGGTTCTTAGAGCCGACGCCCATAAGCAAAACTACTATAAACACTATTGTAAAAGACTTTATACACGATGAACATCGAGTTTCTTGAAGCCCTAATCAACAAGATGAGGCAGGGTTGGAACGAAGTGAGACAGCGAGCGGTTCATATTTTTAGTGGTTATCCGTGTGGTATATTAGAGGGGTCGTGCATCTCGTCCATAAATTCTCACTACTTTGCGCCCGTCTTTAATTGCTTGTATACGGAGAATATGCGATGGTGTTTGGATTGCTAAAATCATTTATGTTCGCAAACAAGATGACGCTATTAAGTACAATTGCCGAGCGAAATATCTCGACAGCAACTATCGGTCGGTCGAAGCACCGCATGACCAGTCGGGGTGTAACCTCCGCCCTCCCTGCCTGTGAAGACAAAATTAGATCAAGATTCGTTGTCGTCATTCTGTAATGGCCCTGGACTTTGGGAACCAATCAAATCATGGCGTTTCGGGCGTATAGTCCTAAAACGGCAATGAGCGACCACCAACATTCCCTTGCCAGTCTGGGGTAGACCCAATGCGGAACTGGAACTGGCTGTGCCAACTTCATACTGGATGGGAGTGAATTCATCTAAGTGTTAGGTAAGTCAGTTATGATGTAGTTGAGCCAGGGGCAAGTTCATCCCCTGTTACGAAGCTGCTAAAGCCGTTGTTGACATCTACAGACCAATTGCAATCGCTTTCGAACGGACCACCGGCTGGCAGTCAACTATAGGTTCGATGTTAATAGTTGGTGCCATGATCCTACAGCAAAGTGGCGACCGGCAAGAACTTGCGCCCCTTACAGAGCATTGGAGGTCTTAAAGGCTGACCTCATGCCCCCCATTCCCACCTTTTACATCACACAGCATGGCGCAATGCGTAAAAAAAAACTTGAATGAACATATAATCGATAAATGCCTAAATAAATACTCGCGGCACGCACCCTCTTCGCTATGACGTCCCATCGAACTCGACACAGTTCTCTAGAACTGCATGAACAGCGCCCAACAAGCCACGAACGCCCGCGTTTCAACTCGCAAGTCACTTCCCACAGGTTAGAAGAGGGCTCGAAACTCGTAGCATTTCCCATGAGCGGCAAGATTCGCAAAGGCAGGAAATCGGTGTTCCGGGAAATTGGGCTGGAGGATGACCTGAAGGAGTTTGGAGGTGAGCATTCGGCCGGTAGGCAGAGTTGCGAGGAGAAAGAGAGCAGTGAAACTACGAGGCAGCCGCCGATACCAATACCAACTCCTCCGGCGCATGAGCGCGAAGAGTCGATAGAGCGGGAACCTGCTCGGGGCAAGTCTCGATGGTTTTCGAAGTTGATTACGGACAGCCGACCGAAGATCAAATCAGCTGCAACCGCTCCACCCTCTTCAATAGCGGGAATGCAGAGGTTCACATTGATCGCATTGCTAATTGCGGTAATGCTTCCGGCTATAAGCTATAATAACGGCCGTCGCATTGTTGAGATGAACGGCGCAGATGCGGGCGTAATTCGAGAACCTATAGTCAGACCCGTACTAGAAGATCGTGCGAATAGCCCAACGGATGTGTGCAAGAGATGGGCCGGGCAAAGTAAGCATTGACGGACACAACACGCAGGAATTAAACGGGTGCTAATGATAACAGGCGCTGTATTGAATGGCACGCTTTATTATTATGGCGGTCGAGCGAAGACGAATGCCGACCAGACGGACAACACATGGAGTAAGTATCTGATGGATTCAACACCAGGCCCTACCGCTAATAGAGGGCAGATAACGACTTTATTACGGTAGACCTGACTAAATCGTGGGATGTTAGCTCTCCCGCCATAAGTGGGATGCCTCAGCCGTCAGGCCCGCCGGCCGTGTCACTCGGGTATCTGTGGAACGACTTCGACCACTTGTATCTGTACGGAGGCGAGTTCGACTTTCCGTCGTCCACCCCACTACCAGTCTCGACCTGGATGTATGATATAAAAGCGGCCACCTGGACCGAATCCAACAATCTAGTAACCTCCGCTGGAGAGTATTCTGATGGAGGGGGTGTACCTGTGCAGCGCGCCGCAGAAGGAGCTGGTGTATCGGTGCCAGAGCTCGGTTTGAGTTGGTACTTTGGAGGCCATCTCGACTGGGCCACGACACCAGGGTGGTCAAACCAGATTCCCCGGGTTTACCTAAAGAGCCTCCTTGAATTCACACATCCTGGCTACTCGAACGTGCAGGTTGACTCACTCCACAATTCTGGGGCGCCAAGCAGCGGCGCCTATCGGAATATCACCTGGGCTGGAGAACAGAACCAACAGGGGTTTACGGAACGCGCCGACGGCGTGCTTGTGTACGGTATGTGACCCTCGTCATCATTTGTTTCTCGTTCCGAGCAGCCTAGGAGCGTCAATGGCCCTTCGTTGGCTAGTATTGTGCCATTGAAGCCTACCGCCCTTTAAGGACATTTAT